GATTCCCAGGGAACACACATACTGGTAAAAAATGTCTAGCCTGAATGCACTGTAAGTCACTTTGGATAAAAGCATCTGCCAAATGCATAAATAATTATTAATCATTATTAAATTATTACCACATTCCCTGCATTGTAAGTTTCCAATCAGATGTCAAATAGACGTTTATTAGATGCCTTTAAGATATTTATGATTTAGAATGTATCTCCAAAGAACTTACAGACGTCTCTCAGCTGTTTGTACACAGCAGATGTATATCAAGCGATTTTTAACAGACATCTTTCAGACATGCATGTGCTCTCTGAGATATAGGTCAAGTGCTAAAGGTGGTTGCCTTGGTCACGAGACCATTTGTAACATTACAAAATTCAACAAGACCGTTTCTCTCTGAAGCATCACACAGGCAAGAGGGATACAAACAACAAAACATTATTTTCTATGTGTAATAATACTTAATTTGCGTAATTGTACAAATAATTGTACATGTCTATTGCAGCTTAGCTGCAAAATAAAAGTGCAAAACATCATGTATTATACTAACAATATTGTATATAAAATACATTTAGGAATAAGACAAAAGCACAGAAGCAACTCACTCTTTTGTCTTTCTCCAGATGTGCTGTAGTTTCTTCTATTCCAGCAGGAGCTACCTACAGCTACTCGTGTCGTGGGATGGAGGGACGTTACGTTATTGTGAATATTCCTGGAACTTCAAAGGTTCTTACTCTCTGTGAAGTGGGAGTCTATGTTATTTTTCCAGGTAATTCAGAGCTACTTAACAACCTGGTCTAAACCCTTTCAAGGGGAATTTGACTTTTTTAAAGCTGTTCTCATTTCATTACAGTAGTTTTTAATATAGTTTACTCTAGTCGAGATCCAAAGACTTAACATATACTCGGACGGTGCTCGGACGGAAAGCAAGATGCATAATTTAGTAGAATAAGGACCGTCTTCTAAATAAAAGAGTCAATAGGCAATTGGTAAAGCTGTCACGTCACTGCAGCTGCCATTAGAGGCTCTGGTTGGCATAGAAAGAGTTTGTTCTGATAATAGATGGCACATGCGTGTTGCAGCCAACCGGGGGGGTGGGGGGGGGGGGGACGGGGACGTGGCACAACTTTTGAGAGGCTTTGAGCGCACTCTGCCCAACAGGGAGTCGGCTATTTAAGGTTTTGTGAAAAGCACATGGACACAACTTTGAAACCTTCACAATCACACGTGTGTCATTGAATAACAACCTTGTTTTGATATGATATATTATTAAGGGTTGCATTTGATAAAACAAGCTCTTTTTCATGATTAAAAAATATATATCCATTTTTATCATATGAATAATTGAATCCTTCTCTGTGGACACACTGTTTTAGATGTAGTGAGAAGACATTGAGTGTCATAGAATTGATTTAACAATAATACATTAAACTGAAGGGGATAATTGTGTTAAATACATTATATTATTAATCCCTCATAACATTTACAGTTTGAAATATTTTCATTTTTAAACCTAATAGCAGTTACAATTGCTGGACATGTTTTGTCCCAAGTCTCAAGAATCAGTGACAATCCAAATGTTCAAGTGTGTGTAGCGCATTTTATGAAGGGCAGTTTCCTGAACCTGCGAGAGTACAAGGTCGTCTCTAAAAAAAATTCTGACTTTGATAGGACGATCTGGTGCTTCTGAATCAGAGCCCTTAAAGGGATAGTTCACCCAAAAATGAAAATCCTGTCAATAATTACTCACCCTCATGTCTTTCCAAACTCGCAAGACCTGCATTCATCTTCGGAACACAAATTAAGATATTTCAATGAAATCCGAGAGAAGAATTGTTGAATAAAGTCATTTTTATTTTATTCACTCATAAAAAGCATTCTCGTTGCTTTATAAAATTATGGTTGGACCCCTGATGTCACAATAGGGCCTTTCGCACCGCGGGAACATTTTCATAGTACCAGAACTAATTGTGGAACTACCCACTTTTTGGCATTTCGCACCGCCGGAACTGGGTGCGATTTTAGTACCGGACTGCCTTTTTCGAGAACCAAATTAGCTCCTACTCCGTGCTGTCGACTGGCTTATGTCACTTCTTAGTACACACTCTCGGTGCGAATGCAACCCTTCAAATGGTGCTGAGAAATAGTCCGCGCAAAATCGTCCCAGAGCTATAGTACCGTACATTTAGTTCTGGAACTAAAGCGGTGCGAAAGGCCCTATTGACTATTTTAACGATGTCCGTTTCTGGTCCTGGGAACGTTTCAGTCACATTGCTGTCTATGGGAGGGTCAGAAAGCTCTCGGATTTCATCAAAAATATCTTAATTTGTGTTCTGAAGATGAATGAAGGTCTTACAGGTTTGTAATGACATTAACACCTCAAACACGGTCAAAGAGTATAAAATAAGCTGACTAAAACCATTTCTCAACACTGTGACATCTTACAGGTAATTTGGCAACAGGAAGAACCATCACACAGTCATCAACCATTGGCACCTGGCTTGGTCAACAAGCTATTGATTTCAATCCAGGTTTCATACAACCATCGTCATCGTGTTCCTCAACCGATAATCAGACTAACCCATGGTGGAGGGTGGATCTGAGTTCTGTGTACAGAGTAAGTAGAGTTGTCATCACAAACAGACTAGACTGCTGTCCAGAACAAATCGATGGAGCAGAGATTCACATCGGAAACTCTTTGGAGAACAACGGTAACAACAATCCCATGTGAGACCCTCTTTCCATTGCTTAATATCCATGAAAATCCCTGAAAACATGTATGGCGAAAGACTAGAAGTCTAAATGATGTTTTCTCCGTCTCTCTTTAGATGTGCTGTGATTTCTAGCATTCCAGCTGGTGTTTCCTCCACCTACACATGTAATGGTATGGATGGTCGATATGTGAGTCTGTTCATTCCTGGAGATTCAAAGATTCTTACTCTGTGTGAGGTGGAGGTCTATGAAGAAGGTGTGATCAAACAAACAGATTTAGTGTTTTGGGAAACTATTAATGGCTTTATTTATTTTTTGAATGCAAATTATTGTTTGAAAATGCAAAACTTAAAGAGTTGCATACTCTCAACAGTCAATAATTCACCACATACCGTATTGGCCTGAATATAAGACGACCCTGATTATAAGACGAACCCCCCCCCTTTTCCAGATGTACCTTTTGGAAAAAGGCTTTTTAAAAAACAAATCTTGTTTTTTCTCAGTAAAACACATTTTGTCTTCAATTATTTTCATATCGCATATTTTTCCTATTTTCATTTTTGTTTTGAAAGTATGGTAAAAAACTGGTAAAATTTACCAACAATCACATTTAAAAAACACACTTTTTAATATACCATTAAAAAAAAAAAAACAGGTAGCCCATCTGAATTAGGACATTTAGGCTATCCGTCTAATAGTAGCCTACCAAAATCTTATTAACAGTAGAAGTAGAGTTGGTCCCATCAGGCTAAGGTGACCGTCAGGACTCATGCAGCTGTAAGGTTTTCTTTCTCTTTTGTTTTTACTCGCGATCTTTACAACACGCATTACTTTACGTATTTCATGGCACACTCGTTTTATGCGTATTTGGCGCCACCTATTGTTGTGGGTGTATTATTGACATGTCAAAGTCTAGACCCTGAATATAAGACGACCGCGTTTTTTCAGATGTATTTCCAACAAAAAAACATCTCTTATATTCGGGACAATACGGTTATATGCATTTGTTTCTGACTCTAAACCATGTCCAACCTCATCAGTGATGTGCACAGACATTTTGAGTGTTTCTTTTTTTTTCTAAACACAACTTTAAATATATTAGGGGTGTGCGATATTGACAAATATATATATATTATCAATAACGATAGTTACAAAATATTTTGCGGAGTTATTGCTGTGTTATTGTGCTGATATCTTAAGGACTACCGTGGACAGCTGACTCCTAAAGTTTTTGATATTCTGCATATTCTGTGTGGTGATCAGTTCACAGCAATGAGAGATAATAATCTTTTCCAATAAGTTTAAATATATTTGTTTTACTGTGTAAGTGTTACGGGTGACAGAGACGTGAGATGTGTGGATCCATTTGCATGCTTTTATTAAAAGGTGTGGTCATGAAAAAGGCATGGGTCGATACACGGCAAACAGTAATAGAAGAGGCAAGATGAAGAGTAATCCAAAGGTTAGCGTGGGTCTGAGATCGGCGAACAATAGTAATAGTCTGTGTGGCATGAGAGTCAATATAATGGGAGGGCGACCTCTGGTGGCAAGTGGATGGAAGTTCATGGACAGGATTTGTGACAGTATGGGCATTTTTACCTTTATAAAGCCACTTTTTCTAAAAGTGTGCATCATCTTTTCAATTCAATTCTTAAATTGAAACAGTCAATTAGAATAATAAGTCATTTGGGCTGTTATCGAGCAAATTAAATCAGTATTGACAAAATTAAACTTTGCAATACAGAGAAAACACAGAAACTGCATTAGAAGGCGCATTTAGATGCATTTACACACTGTTTAATGCAGGACAGGAATGCATTTAACCTGCAGTTACAAATGCATTAATACTGTTTTGATATTTTAAATGTAAAACATTGAATACTGATATTTATTGATTTATTTTTTTAAATGAAAATATACTTTAAAGAATATGCACTGGTCTAACCTACTAGACTTCCTATTGCCTTAGCAAAACTTAAGCTAACTTACATGGTAGCTCTCATGAGTCATGGATGTTAGCAAGACAAATTAACTATAATTGCCTTTTGTCTCTTGGATAATTAGCTGTAAATTCGAAGCACAGGTAGCTTAGTCTTTTGTTCATCACCCCTCACCTCCACAGCAAGACAAACACAACTGAATACTGTTTTGATATTTTAAATGTAAAACATTGAATACTGATATTTATTGATTTCTTTTTTTAAATGAAAATATACTTTAAAGAATGTGCACTGGTCTAACCTACTAGACTTCCTATTGCCTTAGCAAAACTTAAGCTAACTTACATGGTAGCTCTCATGAGTCATGGATGTTAGCAAGACAAATTAACTATAATTGCCTTTTGTCTCTTGGATAATTAGCTGTAAATTCGAAGCACAGGTAGCTTAGTCTTTTGTTCATCACCCCTCACCTCCACAGCAAGACAAACACAACTGGAAAGGGAGGGAGGGCTTCACTTCTGCGGCTCTCTGTCTGTGATTGTGATGTGCGTGATACACGGCGGAGGGGAGAAAGGCATCAGAACTCGATAGAGTTTCAATTTCCCGACCCGACCTGATAGTTTGATTTTTTTATTTGTTTGAGAGGGAAAGCTGTGCGCAAACAGAAACACACACGCACACATATATACATATTAATTTATTTAAAAAAAATTTTTTTTAACTCTGCAGAAAAAGGGGCACTTTCTCTCGAGGAAGAAAAAGGGTAGGTGCTCAAGCCCCTTTGATGCACGTGCATCATTGAAAGTGAACTTGTATTTAAATGTCATCTGGGTCTTTTTTTGTTTGTCATTGATTTTTGAGGATCATTACACAACTTCTCATTGCATCCATTTAATCTTAAGAGATGCATTTGCACTAAATTGCTGTAGATATTTTAGTAACAATGCATTTTATGTTTTCAGTATTTGCATTTAGAGTTGGTTACACTTTACTTGAAGGGGTGTGCATAAGACTGACATGACACCTTCATAATCATGACATGACACCTACATAATCATGACATGACAAATGTCATGAATATGAAGGTTTTTTATGCATGTTTATGACAACTGTCATTAAGTGTCATTAACTCAGTTATGTAATTTTTAATGCAAAAATGACAATTATTTGACCTAACCCTACCCCTAACCATAGCCCATAACAAAGACATCTCAAACAATGTCATCTTTGCATTAAAAATTACATAACTGAGCGAATGACACTTAATGACAGTTGACATAAACATGCGTAAAAAAACCTTCATATTCATGACATGTGTCATGTCATGATTATGTAGGTGTCATGTCATGATTATGAAGGTAAGGCCTGGACGTCCAGAGAGGACAACGGTGGTGGATGATCTTAGAATCCTCTCCATGGTAAAGAAAACCCCTTTAACAACATCCAGCAAAGAGAAATACACTCTCCAGGAGGTCTACAGAGGGTACACCCCAAAGGGCAAACAAGGCCTGATTAGACTTTGCCGAAAAAAAAAAACATCTAAAAAAAGCCAGACCACTTCTGGAAAGGTATTTTTTGGATGGCTGAAATCAAGATCAACCTGTACCAGAATGACGGGAAGAAAAAAGTATGGAGAAGGCTTGGAACAGCACTCCCCAAAAGCATAGCACGCAACACGGATAAGTGTCCCATTTGAACAACCACCATAATTAATAGTTCCTACTCACATTACCATTGCATGACCTATATAGGAATTTAATGAAATTAACTCCACAGAAAAATAGTTTTGGGAACATCATCATACAAAAATACAATTAATATTTCACACTTCCCAACCGGCTACATTCACCCCCCTGAACTTCACAAAACTAGTCAAAACCTAGTGACTCAATGACACTGAGGATGTGATCACACTCTGACAAAAAACATAGTATCCGCTCGCAACATACAAGTTTCCCAACTTACTGAGAGAGCGACAAAAGAAAGTTGGCCAGACTCTCAAGTGTCTGCCCGCAAAAGAAGTGCCATAAACACTGCTACAAAGATACTTTAATCACCACATGTATTGTACCCCAGTTGCATAAAACTGACAGGGAATCTATATCCCAGCTTTAGACCTGAGAAGGCTGAATGAAGGGCTACGTAGGAGAGTTTTCTGTGTCATAATTTGAATCAGTCTATTAACTGGTTTCACTAATCTGCCAGCCCTTGTTATGACTGGGTGAGCAGTTTCGGCTAGAGGCTGAACAATCTCGCCAGAGACTTCATCAGATGGCATGGACTCTTCTATGTCAAGCTCAACTTCCTCCACATCCATGGTAGAAAGGTCAGACTCAGAGATCTGAATGGTTTCCCCATTTCTCACATCCGTGAACTGATCCATCAGAGACATGCTGTAGTCCTGTTCTAGAACTGGGATCCCTGGTTTCCACTTCCACTGATGTGCTTAATGGACAAGCTGAGGAATGAGCTGACCTAACAATTCTGTCATGTGCATTCTCTGATTCACTCAAGGTAGTGGCAACCACAGACTCATCAGTCTCACAGTCCGACTCGGAGTCATCGAAGGCTGGTTCTACACAGTCCTCCCTCACATCAACAGGTAAGAAGTTGGCTTGTAAGAGCAAGTTCCTGTGAACCACTTTCTCCTGATTGGTTCGAGTGTTCCTCACACAGTAGGTATGACATCTCGTATTCACAGATACCACAACATGGCAAGGTCGAATCCCATTTGTCAGCTAACTTGCGTCGCCCCCGCTCCCCTTTGTTGGCGAGCAACACAATCTCCTAACTCAATGTCTCTGCCTCTGACGTCTTTGTTGTAATGTTCAGCTTGTCGTTGTTGACTTGCAGTGTTGTTGGCCTGAGCAAGTAACATAGCTTCTTTGAGATCGTCCTTAAATTCTCTCACATACTGGTCATAGTCTGTGACATTGTTATCCCGATCCATGCTCTGGAACATCAAATCGACAGGCAATCTGGGGATTCTACCGTACATGAGAAAAAACGTTGCAAAGCCGGTCGACTCATGGGCAGTACAATTGTAAGCAAACGTCAAGGTTTGCAGCATTTGTGGCCAGGCTTGTTTGGCTCTCGGAGGCAAAGCCCTGATCATATTGCCCAAGGTGCGATTGAACCTCTTGACTTGGCCGTTGCCCATCGGATGATATGCTGTTGTTCGTGACTTCTGTATGCCAGCAATTTGTAAAAGTTCTTTGATCAACCCGCTTTCAAAGTTCGCACCTAGGTCCAAGTGGATTCTTTGTGGAAAACCATAGACACAAAATAACTTATCCCATAAGTGATGAGCGACTTGAGCTGCTGACTGGTTCTTGCACAGGAATGCATTCGCCATTTTCGTGAAGTGGTCGGTTACCACTAATACATCTACACTCTTGCCAGAGGAATCCTCAGCACACCAGAAGTCTATGCACACTAATTCTAATGGGCTGGCGGTTCGAATGCTTTCTAGAGGGGCCCTTCCCTCTGGCTCAGGGGTCTTGCTGACTACGCAACGTTGACAGTGTCTTACATACTCTCGGGTGTCACTCTCCAACCCAACCCATGAAAATCTCTGCCTAGCCAAAGACAACGTTCTTCCTTGGCCTTGATGACCTGCCTCGTCGTGGATGCCGCACAGAACTACACTGACCAGCGAATCAGGGACTATGAACTGGTAACGTGTAAACCTAGTCACTGGATCCTTGCAAATGCGGTACAGTATATCATCCAAGAGCTTTAGTCTGTCCCATTGCTTCAGCAGTTTCAGAGCCTTGTAAGGTTCCTTGGCTCTTTCTATCCTAGACGGTCTCTTACCTCGGCACACATAGAAGAGAACTCTTGAAAGCACGCGGTCACTTTCTTGCTTCTCTTGAAGCTCTTTCAATGAGTAAATGCGCAAGGGGTTCTGACCAAATGGTAAAGTATGTTGGGTTTCTTGAGCAAGCCAAGATATAACTCTATTCTGTGCTCCCACTTCCCACTGTGCATGAGCCTCCAAGACAGCAGAAACCTGATCAGAAAACAAGGAGCACTGCTCCAGAGGATATCCAACACACTGGCTGTTTGCGCTTAGCCTAAAGGAACTCTGAATGGTCTTCTTTCTTATCTGTTCAGACTGTTCAAGCAGATGGTTGTAGGGCTCTGCCACTAGTCTCTGACTCACACTGCTGGGGACAAATGGCTGGCGGCTCAATGCATCGGTCACTACATTTTTTGCACCAGGTATATACTTGATGTCAAAGGTGTACGGGGCCAACTTAGCCACCCACCTCTGTTCGCACCCGTCTAGTTTCGGCTTTGTTAGGATATATGTCAACGGATTATTATCCGTCCAGACTGTAAAAAGATGTCCCTTTAGCCAATGACTAAATTTTTCACAGACTGACCATTTCAATGCAAGAAACTCGAGACGGTGTGTGGGGTAGTTCGACTGAGCCCATGTGAGCGCCTTGCTAGCAAAGGCGACAGGTCGTGCCTTAGACTCCCCTTTAGGTATTTGAGATAATACTGCCCCTATGCCATCCAAGGAGGCATCTGTAGAAAGAATGAATGACTGGGTGAAGTCAGGGTGAGCCAACACCACAGAATTCAGAAGGGCTGACTTGAGCTGTTCAAAAGCTAGAACACATTCTCTAGTCCAGTCCGACGGCCTGAGTTTCCTGAAGACAACGCCACCCTTTGAGTAGCCCCTTTTTCCCTTGACTACAGCGGTTAACATGAAGAGGGGCTTGGCGATACTGGAACAGTTAGGGATGAACCGTTGGTAATACATGACCATACCCAAAAAAGATTTGATCTTCCTTGGTGAAGGTGACACCATCCTCCATCATGAGGTCCTTTTCGCTAACAGCAATAATGGCTGCAATTTTGTCGGGATCAGTTGCGACTCCATTTTCATTTACAACATGGCCAAGAAATCTGACACTCCGTCTTAGGAAGTAGCATTTCTTAGGTGCCAACTTCAACCTATGATAACTCAATCTGTCGAAGACCATCTCTAACCTTTCCAAGGCTTTTTGTTCATTGGGAGCCACCACTAGAAGATCATCCAAATAGCACAGCAGAGTAAGGAAGTTTTGGTCTCCAAATATACTCATCATTAGCCGCATGACGCTCGCTGGGCTGTTGCATAGCCCCTGTGGAAGACGATTGAACTCATATAGGCCTAGAGGTGTGGTAAACGCTGTAAATCTCTTGTCTTCCTCACACATGGAGATGTTGTAGAAGCCAGATGTAAGGTCCATTGCGCTGAAAAATGCATTCCCTCCCAGGGCGGCAAGACAATCAGCCTGATGAGGAAGAGGGTGTGTGTCCTTTGTAGTGCATGAATTCAGCCAGCGATAATCAACACAGATACGGAGGTCGCCACTCTTCTTCCACACGAGAACCAAGGGAGAGGCCCACTCGCTGCTGGATTTACGAATGATGTCTTGTTCTTCCATCTCCGATAATACTTGCCGTAGCTTCTGGCGGCACATCTCGGTAAGGTAAACGGAAAGACCGATTGTCAGACAGATGGATGCGATGCTCAAAGTCTTTCGCGAGAACCAAGGGAGAGGCCCACTCGCTGCTGGATTTACGAATGATGTCTTGTTCTTCCATCTCCGATAATACTTGCCGTAGCTTCTGGCGGCACATCTCGGTAAGGTAAACGGAAAGACCGATTGTCAGACAGATGGATGCGATGCTCAAAGTCTTTCACTCTCCCGCAGTCTAACTTGTGCTTTGAGAATACATGCTCAAACTTCTGGACCAATTGCAATAACTGACCTTTCCATTGAGGTGACACTTCGCAAGAGTCAATGTCTAAGTCACTCAAACCCATCTTCTGCATAATATCCTGGAAGTCTGGGTCAAGTGATCCATCATGCAGTGTTTGGCTCAGCATTTCAACAGTGTTGAAGGGTCGCTCCGAATCCATTTCCAAATCCTCCAACGCCACACAAGGAGAGACATTGACAACCTTCAAGTTTTTTTTCAGGGTGATGGCCTTGTCATGCGGGTTAAGCATCCTTACTGGTACCCATCTATCAGCAGTCATGGAAACCACCACACGTCCCACAATGATATCTTTTTTTTATGGGTCGGCGACTTGGTTGGTTCAATCAACACAGCATTGCCCTCAGAAATAGGCGACGTAGGAGGTAACTTGGCCCACACCAGGTGTTCCTGCTTAGGCAGCAAAGTGACTGCTTGAACCAGTTTGGCAGTTCCTATGATGTCAGGCATCTCATTGCCTCTCCATCTGTTAAGTCCAGAAAG